ATCTTTCTGGACTGGAAGACCCCAAGGAAGATTTTTCCTCTGAAAGAATCCTATGTTTTGCTTTCTACCTGGCCTGTGGCCTTGCAATGGCCCAGAGGAATATCACTTTGGGATTTTCCTTAAGCTTTCATCTAGCCTCCTGCCAATGGCACTGTTGCTTATTTCATGTGCTTTCTGGCTACAGCGGTTCATTCCTAGGAAGGGAGTGAGGCCTTTGACAATACGTGTGCGCTTCCAGGAGGGGAACCGGCACTTTTGTTTAAGAATGCACACGTGTGCTCTCCTGTTGAAACGGATGATCTGGAGCCTAGAACGTTTAAACAAACAAGGACAGTTCTGCTGTTCTGATAGGGCTAGCTGCTGCTGACAGCACTAGGGCCACAAGCTTTGTAAATATTTCCCTCTAGACGGCCATTAGCTAAAACTTTCCACACCTTGTGCTCTTTCTGACATTGATGAAAAGGTGCACCGAGATGAATTACTACTTTATTTTAATGAAGGGAAATAGAGAAACAAAAGGAACACTGAAGGCTTCGTGAAAATGAAAGAACAGTAAACAGTGTAGGCTGATTCCCTTTATTTATGTGTGGTTGAGAGCCTGGACTATGGGGCCTGACACCCCCTGCCCCCAGGCTCTGCAGGTGACTCGCTGTGTCATGTGGCTGAACTACTTAAGCTCTCTGTACCCTTTCCACATTTGCCATTAGGAATATGCCAGGGCCTGGTTTGTAAGATTATTATGACTATTAAATGGGTTAAAATTTGTGCAGTGCTCAGAAAAGTGCACAGCGTACAGAAAGCACATTGCTTTGCTAAAAGCAAAAAATAATAAAATATTGGTCTATAGTTTTCATGTAATCTTTTCATCTGCCCTGAATTTTTTTTTTTTTTTTTAATGTATTTGGTTGTTACAGGGTCTCACTATGCAGCTTGGACTCGTAGTGAGCCTCCTGTTTCAGCCTTTCCAGTGTTGGCATTACAGGCATGGCCACTATGCCCGAACTCTGGCTGGCTCAGCCCGCCCTGGGGGTGGGGCTGGCACAGCATGTGATGCCAGGGATTGAACTGCAGTCCCTGTGCTTGCCTAAGCAGGCGCTTTAGTCTGCTGAGCATCTCGCTGGCCCCTGCCCTGAAATTTTGTTGTTACATATGCACATGCAGTGGGACAAAAAATAGGGCGAATGTTTAAATTTTTAAAAGAATTATTAAAGTAAAAGACACATTGCCATCAATCTCCCTCCAAATAGTCT